CGAGCCAGGTTGGGCGAAACGCGCGCGTCAGGGGTTTCTTACCCGCTGTCTCTTACCAGAGGATGACAGCAACTCTACCTGTCCTCTTTCTTATCTAGATTTCATTTCAGCATGGGAAGACTTAGGTGCCCTTGAAGGCACGGGGGAGAGTTGGTAGTGTGGAGTTTATTTAGTCTATTTTTTAGTTTATTACCCTCTATATTATCTTTACTACTAACTAGACTGCATCAGCATGGGAATACTTAGGTGCCCTTGAAGGCACGGGGGCGAGCTGGAAGTGTGGAGCTTAATTATTTTTTTGTTCTATTATCTTCATATTATTTTTCTTGTTATCACTACTCTGACTGCTATATTCTCCAGTGTAGGCTACAGGTCTTATCAATCGAGTATAGCCTGTATCTGCTATTTTCTAATCAAGCTCTTTCTATAAGAATCTCAGTACGCTACTAAATTGCCTACTATTAGCATTGTTAACAATTACGGCACACACTATCAGATGCTGTAACCATTACTTCAGTCCACATATTGCTTTCTGTTGGCAGTGCATTTCGGTGGCATCAATCATTTTACCTCTGAAACCTCTAACAGTATCCAGCATTCATATGCTTGTGGTTCATACTGTTATATATGCAGGACTGTACCAGCATTTCCACCGATAGGTATCACCTTTGTTATCTTTAAAATGTAACAACTATATGTTAGGACCTGCAGCCTTCACACCGATAGCCGTTGACGGTGTTTTCGAGTGTTCCTATGTAGATTTTCATTCCATTATTTCCGCAACCTCTTACAGCTATTAGTATTCATACGTTCGTAGCTCACACTGTCATATTAGCAGGATCGACTCAACTTGTCACAACTATATGCTTAGACCTATAGTCTCTATATCGCTATTCTAGCTCTAAGTAGAGGAATTTTTTGCCACCCTTGGAAGTATCTAGCAATCATATGCTTGCACTACACACCACCCCAACTTAGCTAGCTAATTTACACAGTTCTCCTGTACTCTATTTACTCCCCCATTACTACTATGGCTATCATTAGCTAATGTTTTCCCGTTAGCACAGACGTGTGCTGTTGCTTATTATTCTTATATTCTTTAGGACATTAGAGTTAACCTCGCAGATTACTACACTGCTCCAATACATTTATCTATTGATACACTCATCGAATTACATTGAGACTCATTGATACGTGTATCCTATATCATTTTATTACATTGAGACTTATCGATACATGTATCTTAAGTAAATCAGTACTGAGTCTCATCGATATATGTATCATAACAGCATTTTGTATTTATTTACCTTTTTCTTTTGTTTTTTCACTTTGTATTTTGGTTTAGCACTTTTGGGTTATTGCTATTTTTATTATACTATACAGTATCCAATTAATTATTTTTTGTTTTTTGACCTTTGGTCTTTTTAACTCGTGCTTCATATTCTTATACATTTTTTGGTTACTATGTAGCACAGGCACACGTTGCTTCCTCCCAATACCTCAATACCTTCTTGGTACACTATTCTCAAGTTTACTGTTCATTTCTACTAGGGGTTGCCCCCCTGTTCTTAGTGTACCATATTTGGCTGTATCCAGTTAGCTCTCAAGAATTCAAAAGAGATTCACATATTTTTCCTAAATTTCCAATATGTCCGATAGGGTCGGCCCCAAAACAATTCTTGCACCAGGACTTTGTCTACTTTAGTTCCGCCACTGTGGAAGGCCCTTCTCCGATTCTTGCAGCGGGGCCCTGTGGTTCCTGGTTACAAACCTGAGCCTACCCATATTTCTATACACAATCCAACCCCTAATCCGGCCATTAATCTAATAACTAATCCAATCATTAATGTAACCACTAATCAAACCCATATTCCTACCTGTAACCCGACCCTTCATTCTACATAGAATCCTATATATAATCCTACCTATAAACCTATCTACAATACAATCTATAACCCTAGTCCTAATCTTGCCCCTAAGCCCCACCCTTTAATCCCACCTCAGAGGAATTCCCTCTACTGATGTCAGTAGATTTATACCTAAGGTATCAAGGACTAAGTAGTATTTAAGCAGTAGTAACTTCGTATCTCTATGGAACTGACCTTCTCTATTCAGAAGTAACAGACTCAGATCTCCATATTATGGTGACATCCTTCAAAATATTCTGTGTACTTCCATGTCAGAAAAGTCCTGGATGATCGACAGAGGACAAAGCCAACTACTGCCCATCAGGAAATGTCTTGGTAAATCACTAGCCCGGTCTAGTTCTGACTTCATTGGAGGGTGCCCAAACCAGTGTTTACCTACATGTTCAGTTTATTTATTTATTTATTTTTCCATTATACACCTCCACCATTTAATACTATTATAACATCCGCACAAAGTAATACATTTAAATTGACTTTAATGTAGTTTGCACAAAGTGACACCGCAATGTTTTGACCCTAAAGCTTGAAAAAGACCCCTAAGCAAACGTTGCTGCCTCCTTCTCTGGTGACTGCAATAAAGACAATTTCACAGTCTGTTTTCTGAAATGATTTACAAGTTGTGATTCTGGTTTTCAGTTATGTTCTATGTTCTTGATAGACGCAATTACTCAGTGTTTCACCTTGGAAGAAACCTGTAATGTCTCACTCTCGTTTCTATTCTCGTATTGAAAAGGAGTGGCCTAGTCTCCATCGGCTGTACGTAGCAATTATTATTCTGTGTCCAAATATAGACGTAGAATGCTCTTTGTGGGTTTATCTAAATTAGTGTTATCTAATTATCAAACTAAACTCCTTGCTTTCCATGTACATATTTTAATTAATATATAAATTGTATTTTTAAATAAAAACTTTGTTTCATGGTCAGATCCATTTTACATAGCAACCAATATATATATACAGTATCTCACAAAAGTGAATACACCCCTCACATTTTTGTAAATATTTTATTATATCTTTTCATGTGACAACACTAAAGAAATGACCCTTTGCTACAATGTAAAGTAGTACGCGTACAGCCTGTATAAGTGTAAGTTTGCAGTCCCCTCAAAATAACGCAACACACAGCCATTAATGTCTAAACCGTTGGCAACGAAAGTGAGTACACCCCTAGGTGGAAATGTCAAAATTGGGCCCAATTAGCCATTTTCTCTCCCCGGTGTCATGTGACTCGTTAGTGTTACGTGACACTGACTGAATTGAATGAACCAATATATTGAAGGGCATAGAACTTTAGCATAGAGTAGTTGTAATGAACTGCATGTGAGGTTTTAGGATCATCAACAGCTCATCTAGCAAAGTGCAGCAATACCCTTACTATATTTGTGGAGGGAATTGAGTTTCCACATTTCTCACTGTAAAGGAGGGTACTATTTACAGTATAGCTACACTCATACAAAGCACTGGGCATTATAAAATTGTAAAGCACATAAATAAATGCCCCTCACCAGCGGTAGGCTACCTTCGGCACTCCAGATGTTGTAGACTACATCTCCCATAATGCTCTAGCAGCCATAATGTTGGAAAAGAATCAGGGTAGATGTAGCCCACAACACCTGCAGTGCCAGAGGTTTCGTATCTCTGCCCTATATTCATGCATGCAGTTTGTAAATTCGTGGGCTTTGTGTATAATCCTCGGCTTCTCCGTTTGCAGAAGGCTGACATCATTTTGACAGAATAACATGCTGCTATGATTGGACTGGCCCATATACAGATGGCCACTGACTCCTGTGTACTATGAGAAATTAAACTGATGTCTTTATATGTTGAATATTGGTAATGCTGTGTACATGGATTTTAATTGTTTACATTTTGATATTTGAATGTGAAACCACAAACACTGCCCTCTATTCTATTTAGAACGCAATCACAGGACAGCACAATGGTGGAGGTGCAATGAACAAGGAGGGATATTTTTGTGATTATACTAGTAGTAATGTTTACATTTTCTAGAAGATTACTATTTCTGCATTATTCCCCAAATGATCAACAAAAAAAAGCTTACTTTTATCGTCTTGTGCTATAGGCTGCATGTATAAGTCAGTTTATGCAACCCATAACTACATGAAGGGGTGGCAATATATGGCTAAGTAAAATATGCAGATTGTAAAGTCATAGTTTGCCTAGCGTGAAACAATTAGAAGGACCAATCCCATTCTGTACACTGTAATAGCGAGGAGTGGTGATGGGACATTGTCAAGACTAGGAAAAATATGTTCATGGGTAAACAAAAACAAACCAAACAAGTGTAAATCGCATACAAATTGCCAAAATGGTGCTTAACCCCTTAAGGACACATGACATGTGTGACATGTCATGATTCCCTTTTATTCCAGAAGTTTGGTCCTTAAGGGGTTAAAGGAACACTCCAAGTACTTTAGCTTGTTGTAGTGCTTTTTGAGTAAAGAATGTGTCCTCTTTTTTGTTTTCCAAAAAGTGCAGCTTGCAATAGAAATTGGCAATTGTATAAATTAACCTGGTTACACCCCCCTGAGTGTCAATTACACAACAGCTTCTGTTACTTCCTGGTTTGCTCAATGGAGCTAAACTCAAGAGGCAGCAACTGCCCAGAGCACCTGTCTTGTGAAGACTTCTCATTGAGCTGCATTGGGAATTCTGTGATTGGACAGCCACAGAAAGTCTGGGAGAGGGTTAAAAGGAGAGGCTTCAGACACGAGATCTGCAGGTTTTGCAAGCTGTTATGCAATAAAAACATGCATAAAAAATGCATACATGTTTTCATTTGTGGTATATCAACTAAATAGTGATTTTTTTTTTTTAGTTTGTTTCTTGTATTTGGGCACTGGAATGTCCCTATAATATAAGCAACCACATCATCACCTACATAAAACACTGGGTTAAACCGCACATTCATGAAAGGAGATCACCCTTACAGTGATATTGCAGCAGCTCACGTGGAAGAGAAAAACGCCAAAGAGGCTTTATATTACAACAGCCTTAAAAACTCTAACTTTGAGTTTTTAAATCTGTTCGTGATAATAAAGTTGGTTTTATGTTTCAAACAACTTAGAATAAACATTTATTTACTTCAACAACAAAAGTAAATGTGGAGGTAGATCGATAAGAGTAAGATGATGTCTTTGTGTATGTGTTTTTAGCAATTGGGAGCTACTGATTGGCTTAGAGTAAAACCGCTCTAGCTAACCAACGGTGCCCCTGCCCAGCAGCACTTTGCACTTTCTGTAACTTGGATTTAGAATCTGGATGTCCCCTGGGGGACCAGGAGATCGGCACTGGAAGCATCCTTTGGGATTTAATCATTTGCAAAAGGTTTAACACCTTAGGGTAAGAGTGCTCATGGGGGGAATTCTGGCACCATAACAACTTAATTTAGGTGAAGTTGTTATGGTGACTGGAGTGTCCCTTTGATGGACTGGAAGGGATGGCAAATCTAAAACTTCCATAGCCTTTTGGTTTTAACTCCTGATGGAATTTAATTACTGGATCAGAAATACCTGATTGGAATAAATCTGCCATTTGAATAGAGACACAGTGTGGCTATGTTAGCATAAATTTTAATTTCAATTCACTACAATCCAGTGTTTTTGTCAAACAAACTTAACTACAAATGTAATTCTCTTTTCAACTTTGACTTCATTGTTTTATTTGGCTTTTTTTTTGTGCCTAAATATATTAAGTCAGTTCCACACACATCTTAAATAACAGTTTACAGAATAAACTTTAGTTTAAAAATATATAGTCTCATTTATGTTCACACTTATATACATAGCACATAGCCTTTGCATAACTAAAATGCACAGCTTCCCAAAAAATATAGTCTGCGTAAAGTGAGCACTATATCATTTGAGTATTGGAAGTCATGGGATTGCTTTAGAATGTGACATCAGTTTCTCAAACACTTGAAGGGTTAACCTTGTTGCACTGACGGGGTTAAACAATAGTTCCCACATCAGACACTGCTAATTTGTATGCTACGGTCATAAAACTATTGTCTGCTGCTTTTCTAAAGAGAGATCCAATGGGAACACTGGTCCAAAGCTAATTGATTTAACCCTTAGAATAACTCTGGCACTCATAGAGTTAAGGTAAACACAGAATTGTGCATTTAAATGAATTTAATGGATTCTAAAACACATTTTAAATTCAGATTCTCTCCAAGTGAAGGCAACACAGTATTTAATAAATCACTAGTTCATCTCTTATACGAGTTAGTAGCATTTTGGATAAATGTACTGATGGCATCACTAAGGCAGTGATTTAGAAACAGCGAACTGTACCTAGTTGAAAAACAATTAAAAAAAGTAATCTAAAAAAACTTTAAATTCAGGTATTTTGACTTAAAGGGACACTATAGTCACTAGAACAACTAGTTTAATGTAGTTGCTCTGGTGAGTATAATCATTAGATGCAGGCATTTCCATGCAAACACTGCCTTTTCAGAGAAAAGTCAGTGTTTACATTGCCCCTAGGGACACCTCCAAGTGGCCACTCCTCAGATGGCTACTGGAGGTGCTTCCTGGCTCAGTGCTGCACAGTAGGCAGCACTGCCATTCAGTGTATCCATGCTCTGCATGAATTTTCCTCACAGAGATGCATTGATTCAATGCATCTCTATGAGGAGGTGCTAATTGGCCAAAACTGTGTTTGGCCCGCCCCCTTGCAGATTTTAGCCAATCCAATGCTTTTCCCATGGGCAATTCTGATTATGTCACCAAGTGGGCGGGACCAGTGCCGGTGGATCCACGCGGTGCTGGAAATAAGGTGAGTTCTACATGCTTTTAAAGATGTGGGGGGGCAGGCCACCTTAATGGTGGGTTTTGCACTGCAGGGTCAGGAATACATGTTTGTGTTCCTGACCCTCTAGTGTTCCTTTAAATTTTTAATTAGATTTTTCAACTTACTAGAGTTTACAGTTAAGTGAATATATCTCTTTGTGCTTTTATATATAGGCCTCTAAACAACTAACTAATAACCATAATGTATACACTAAAATATGCTGCAAAAATGACAGACTTGAAGAATTAAAGCTAAGACAGCCAGGTTGAAAAGAGTATGATTTTTGCTAATTTAGCTATTTTAGACTATTTTTTGCAAATCGGTTTTCAAACCATGACTACTTGTTGTTTACTGAATAGATGGTTTAGTCTTTATTACTCTATACAGTGGGATATAACTGAGCATATTATTATGTATCTGTTATAATATTACAAATCTAATGAAAGGTGGGCTTAGCAAAGCGAATTGTTCAGTAATCCAATTTTGTGGAAAACTGAGAAAGGAATTTTGGTTGGTCAAAGTAGTGAGACTCAAAAACAGCAAAATTGTGTCATTCCCATGTCAGATTCCCACGATTTCCCATGCCTTGATTAGACCCCCCAACAGCCACAAATTTCTACAGGCAAACACAGCCTTTTGAAGTCCAAAAAATCTGATAATTATATCCATTATCTAACCGAGAACAGAGATGGGCAAAGAACAATTAGTTAAGTTTTTAGTCCCGCTGAGAACCTATCTCACAGGTCACACTAATGCCAAACCGTTTTATAGCTTTACTTAAATTGATTGAAACATAGTTTCTTTGTATATACTTGTATAAAATTTGTAACTTTGTGTCGCAAATGTGCTATAGAACATTTTCTACAAACATAAAACAAACAACAAAAGAAAAAATATAGATATTACTAAAAAGATAAATAAAACAAAATCTGAAATTCACCCAAAATACTAACGGAGCAACACTTCTTTATTGCATATAATTCTGGTCATTTTTCAGTCTGTTTCTTTGCAATATATTTAAGGGGGAAAGGGTGCGTGATAACGCAAGAGGAACGTGCTAATATGTACACATACACACACTCGCATTCATTGTCCCTGACCTTCTGACTGTAAATTTCAAAACAAACATAGCTTCTAATAAGTTCCAACGTTCCGTTTAAGGCAAATAATAAACTCATATAAATGTGTAACATTTGTCTGTAGCGCACATTTCTTCATATCAATAAATGTACTAGATCTATGTACTCGATTATCTCATAATCAGCATTTCAGAATAATAATAGCCCTCTCACAATGAATCTAGCATAAATACACAGTTATCTATCGTGTCCCAAGGCAATCAGAATGCTATGTTACTGAACTTTTAACTTGTGACATGTCAGGGACAACTACCTTACATGTTATTATATATCTCATATATCCCCAACTTTATAACATTATTATAGAGGCTTTTATTGCACATCTTTCCTACAGTACTCCCAATAAAAAGTCCTTTCAAACTCCCAGGGTTATTCAATGAAGTGTGATTTTTCTTTGGGGGAGGGGGGGAGGGAGGAAGGAAGGGGGTTCAAAGTGAATTTAAAATTAATAAATGAGAAAAATACTCAGTTTTCAGATTAATTACCGTGGCCTAAAATTTGAAATTCACTTTGAAATCCTGACAATTAACACTTTATCTGGTGCATGTGGTTTTGTGGGGATCTACAAAACAGGATAACCTATTCTGTTGTAGCCTGAGCTGTAATCGTAAAACATTTGTGGAATAGGACATTCAGGGAAGCTTGAATTAAATGATGTCAGGTTAGAGCAGCTGTCGTCTATTGCAGAAGTGATGCTTGAGTCAGTGCTATTTGTATAGAGAGATGCTGGCAGTGGAACACATTTCAAGGTTTCATTCAAATTGGGGCTGCAAGTTCCCACGGGACTCTTTTTAACTTGATTACATGGATTCCAAGGGTCAGCATAAATGAGTCCATTTAGCAAATTATTTGGCTCATACAGGGAATGTTCCGCTGAAATGTCTTGATGAATCCTCACTGATGCCCCCTGAAAGATCTCTTGTTCTGAGATCATGTTATTGTAGTCTGGGCCCAAGAGGTCAAAAAACTCTATGGCATCTTGGTTAACTTTTTCCGGGTCTTTAAAAGTCATGAGGGAGTTGCAGAGAAGTCCTGCTGAAGAAGTGTTGGCAGGTTCTGTGAAAAAGGATTGTGGCAGATTGCGATTTCTCAAAGGAACCTTCTTACATTTATCTCCACGGATTTCCTTTGCATTGTCAAAAAGAGCTGCCAAGCTTTTGCTCTGTAAATTGGCCTGGGAGCTGTCCCTCTTGGGGGGGGGCTTGCAATGAAAGATCGGGGGACTGATACTGCAGCTGGGGGATGCAATATGGCGTTTGGGAGATCCCTGGCTTACGTTACCATTGCTGATCATACCTGTACACCTCTTTATTTGTTTTTGCAGGTACTTCCTGTGATTGACCTTCCTTTTTGATTTTACAGGCTTGTCCAGAGCAAGCTTGATGTTGCTCGAAGCTGTGTTGATGAAACTTAGCAAGTCTCTGGTGGCTTCCTTGAAATCCCCACTTTCAACGGCACCAACAAAGTCTCCTCCATCATGGTAACCTTTTTCAAAGTCCACAATAGATCCAGGAAAATACAAGGGAATGAAATGGTGATTCATTACCGCAGTCTGAACAGCCATCACTTTTGGGTCTTTCCTCTAATTAGAGTCTGGCATGTCACCTAAAAAAATCCAATTAATACAGGCTGACCTCTTAGATGTAATGTGAGATTAAGTCCCAATTCTATTCCAAAACACAAGCACCTTTTTTTAGTTCCAACGTTCTATGCGATAAAACTGTGTTACTTAATATACTAACTCATTATTGGTTTTCCCATCAGAATCTAAAATCCAGAAGAATTTTTTAAAAAACAGGAAGGAACCAAGTCCATCAAGGGAGTCTGCCAGAGATTTCCATTGGTGTGAATAAATTTAGCAGAGCATAATCCAGGCTTTCAGATTTCCCAGAGCAGTCTGTGTGTGCGCTTCCTGTGTCTCTAGATCTTAACTCGTTCTCACCAGAAACACACAGGACTGAAAGAGTTGGGAGGGACAGTCTAGTGGGAGGTCTAGCAGCTACAAACGTATCATCTTTCACTAAATCCAAGGGGAGTGAAAGATACAAGAGATGATTGAAATAAAGCCCAAGGGGTGCTCTTTCCCCCTATGAACAGCGAGAAAGGGGGAAAAAAAGTTTCCTTCCTTGTTTTAAGACTAGTGAAAAAAAAAATTGATCTTAGTAAATACTATAGCCTTCACCTCACAGGTCACACAAAAATGTATAAGTGAAAACATTATTCTTAGCAACAGCAATTGTGTAAAGCAATCTTTTCTTGGGTTTTTGAAATCATTAAATAGTGAGATTTGAAGGGTGGAAAACATAATTATTGCTACCATTTTCTTCCAGATTGCTGATTTGGTTTCTAAATTTTTAGAAGAATGCTATCAACCACATATAATCATGTAAGCGGTTTAGTTATGTAAACGTCGCTTATGCTGAATCGAAAATCAAATTGCAATATCTAGGCTAGAATAACAAAATTGGAAAAAATGAACTACAGCGTGATGGAATTTTAAAGTAGTTGCAATATTCAGCCATCTGCCTAGCTATAGTGAGGCCAAACCGGACCAGATATAATAATTAACTCTATCTGTAAACTATTTGCATTTACAATTGGTGGAACAAGAATATAATTTACTTTAGCAGCATAAAATTCTGTCACAATAGGAAATTAAAAAATTGATGAAGGGGGTCACCAAGTTAAGACCATGCATGTAATTGGGGTCCTGTCAAAAAAGCTATCGGTGGGGATCCAAAGGACCACCATCTAAAGGAGCACCTGTCTTCTCCTGCACAATCCCTTTGCCCTCACCTGATGTTCATTTAATTTTGAAACGTGTCAAAGTACAATAGGGGCTTAAATATTAAGAATACAATTATTTGCTTTTAGAATTCCAGAGACAGGAGGTAAAAGTGTAAATCCATTAATACCTACTTCTGGTTAATGAGAGGTCAGTAAAACAAGGGATTAATCTAAGGGGTTATAGGGCTAAATATATTAAAATAAATATAATATGGGATAGATAGATAGATAGATACTTTATTTTTAACATCTTAACACAGATTCTATGATATTGCAATCCATTTTAAGACTTAAAGGATAAATTTTGTTTTGTGAATTTAAAAACTATAAGAGAGCCATCTGTACCCTGTTTAAGGGGTGGGTCGGGTTCCTCTTAGCATATGATGGGTTAATAAAGCGACATGCAAAATGAACAAATATCCGGTGAGTCCAAAAAAATCCTCTAGAGCTCAGGATCCTATTATTAGAGGCTGAATTCATTCAAGTAAACAGCTTAAGGAGCTCAGCCACGGTTTGCTGGAGCACTTTATTACATCTTAAAAATAGCCCAATTTTCAGACAATGACCCTGCAAGCCATGTAAACTCCCATTCATTGAGATTTAAGGGACATTTGCATGCTATAGATAAGGATTAAAGATTAGCAGGACTGCTGCATAATTGTGCCTAAGCAGCGACACATTTTTGAAGCCATTTTTGCAGCTTTATAACAGTTAAAATGAAACTTTTGTATATATATTTTTTTAGAAATCTCTTCTGGCAATGCTGTTTTTAATGGACACTATATTATAAAAAATAATGTGGTTATGTA